TGACCAAGATTTGAACAACGGCCTATTTTAACTCCAAGACTTTATTTTTCTAAGTGAAGAGCTTGTAAACTTTTTCTAAAATGTAGGCCATATGGTCTCTGTTGCAACTACCTGATTCTGCCATTGTAGTCCAAAAGCAGCCGCAGACAATATGTAATTGAATAGGTGTGGCTGTGTTCCAATAAAACTTTATTTACAAAATCAGGCAGACAGTCCGTAGTTTGCTGACCCCTGCAAGCTGTCACTAAGATAATTAAAAAGACAAAAGGATACATCAGTATTTGTATTCCATCATCCAACTGAGAAAGCCTTGAGAGAAAACTGTGTCTATTGGTATTTGAGATGTTTTTGGTTTGGCCATGGTTTGATCATCATGCTTGTCTAATGCAGCGAGAACTTATATGCACGCCTGGCTTAAAGTAAATCAGACCTCACAGAACAGGCTCTTCAGAGAGAATATTCTACCCCCAAATAGAGAGACTATCACTCCTCATTTTCTGGAAATAAAGGACAGAAGTGCCTCAGCAAACAATGATTCCATATGGCAACGTAAGCCTGCATAGTAGGAGGCATCGGGGCAGGACCCCAGGAGAATGATCTAATTTAAGTGCCACGATGAGGTTGTTTAGCTTCCCTGGGCTATATGGAGATGATACAAACATCAAAAAGCTGTACGATTATGAAAAAGCATTCTTTGAAAGCCTGAGGTCCACTATCAACATGAAGTTTGATTAACAATTTATGATCAAGACAGACAATCTTGATTAGAGGGTTGGAAGCCACTAGATCCACATCATCTTTTAAGAAATGATCCCTGAGACAGGCAAGAATCTTGCCCCAGACCTAAAAAAAACCCCTCATAGACACATCAAAAACAGTAATTTAACGTCAGATAATCAAAAGCCACAAGGTAGCTCCTTCTTAAGAGGAGTAGACCAGTTCATATTCTCTCCATGTGTGCAACAGAAGCAACACAAAAAATAAAGATTTAAATTCTTTCTCTCTCTCAAAAAGAAAAAAGTATGTAACTGTTAGAAAAAACAAAGCGTATGGTGAGGAAAGTTCTATCAATTTTTTAAAAGTCAAGACCAAGGTCTTCCTTATCAATTACTACTTCTTTCTACTCTCTCTCCTTTAAAAGGTTTTGCAAGGATCAAATAAGATATATATGCAAGGGCTAGGTAAACCATTAGGCCATATAAACAATGTAAGCAGCATCATAAGTATTATTACCATTACCGTAATTATTACATTGATCAACTGAACTGCCGCCACGCTGACAACCAATTTTTGGCACTCAGTCTTTCTAATGAGACCCTAAGCTGCCAGAAGGCGGACGCTTCCACAGCCCAGCTAGCATAGTGGCAAGCACCGTTGTTAGGAACATGGCCATCCAAATATCTTTTAAACCGAATCAAAATTGACCCCAGAACACAGCAGATGTTCAATAAAAGGTTGTTAAATGAACAAATAAAATAAATAGTAGTTACCCAACGCACGTTAGCTCTAATTTTCAGTTTACTGTCTTTTATTTTTTCTCTTCTGGTTTAGTAAGTCAGTACTCCCTAAATGTCCCCTTCTTCCCTCTGTCCTGGCTCCCCACAGTATCAGATGCTGGAGGGAAACTTAACTCTTTGTGTTACAGTAGGTTATGGGCATAAACTCTCACTGAAAAAGTGATCAACAGAGAGACTGCACAATGTGTGTGTGTGTTTGTGTGTGTGTGTGTGTAGTGGGGAGGTCGGGGGAAGCAGGGACTAGTAGAGCCAGAATTGATGATTGAGACAATAGAGAAGGTAGGGGTGGGATAGGAAAGTTTCCAATAGGAAAGACCTTCTGGGAATCTGGCAGAGATCTCCCCTGCAGTTAAGGGCAATCGGTAAAGTGCTAGACTTGACTTTACAACGTGTGTACTCCTGTAATATATTCAGCTATACAAAATTCTAAAAACCAGACTGATCAAACAGAAGCAACTCAGAAAATCTTTAATTCATAAAAGCATAACTAAAAGCAATCAGACTCCTATGCTAGCTGTTAAGCAGTGTCCTTAGGATACAAGCAAGGAGAGTACACATTCTCTCACTCCCGAGTGATCCCCTTGCTACTTCATGTTGGTTGAGTTATCACTCTTTCTTGACTAACTCAGTCTTTTTTTTTTCCCAAACATATTCCTTAATATAGAGCCATCTTTAAATCTTGGTGTCTAGCTTGCTGTATTAGGGAAATAAAAATAAACATATTCCAAAGACGGTATTGTCATTGATCATTAGTCTAAAATGGGTATTGGAACTTCAGAGAGGTAGGCTTATTTTTAAAACTAAGTCTAACCGCCTGAAAGTCGATACAGAACCTCAAGTTTCGCCCTTTTAGCATCCTTGGGGATTGAACTTTAGTTTTGGAGCATTTTCACTGAACCTTTGACAGACAAAGGCAGTAACTTTTATTTCCAACGCTCTCCCCCATTCCCCTTTTATAAAAAATGTAAAATATTTTTAGAAGAAGAAAGAGAATGGTGAAAAATACAGAAAACTACAAGATCACAAGTGCAAAGTTTTCTAAATGCGTGCTACTTGAAAGTCTCATAATATGACCATTTACACATAAGTTGTGACTTTAAGTTGGTCCCAAAATCATATTGAAAGATCCTATCATAGCATCCTTCACTAAAGATGTATTCGTTTAACAAGACAAAAATGATGAAGGATCCGTCTACATCTGGTACCATTTTCTGACACAAATATTGTATTTGTTTCCCAGACGTTATTCGACAAGCTCTCCAACATAATAATTTTATTTTTAGCCATCACCCTTTAAAAAATTCCTAATGAATGTGGTATCACTGTTCTAAAGGACTGTCTATTCTACCTCCTTCATTCTTCTGCTTAAAATTGCTGATATAATTTCCCTCACTTCTGATCATAAGCGAATTTTTTTAAAAACCTCTCCATTAATCTTATTTTCCTTTTAAGTAAAAAATCATTACCCATTACCCTTGGCTACCAAAAGAGCAGCTTCTGCTGTTCGTGTTAAAGAAGCTGCTTGCCCACGACGCTTGTCTCGGAGAATTTAGAAGTCTCCCTAAAGAGCCGAGGGGGAGAGCTGCCGCGAACGTTCTCAGATACCTGACTTTACAAGGTTTCGCGCAAAGAGCTTGCCTTTAGATCAGCATTACTCAGTGTTTATGAGGGTTGTTTGTCAAACCAAAAATAAGGAGCCTCCTCCCCACAAATTAAAGAATCAAGTTACAATCCATTATTTCATTTCTGATTGTTTTTCTTTGTAATAAGTGGGAAAGTGGATACTGGATAAAAGTCCCCCAGAGCTAAAAGAGCCCACATTAAAGGCTTCAATTAGCTATAAATCAGTTGTCTTTCCTACTGGGGCAGAACAAGAGGGAAAAAAGAGAGGGGGGTGTTTAGAGAAAAGAGAACTGGAAGAGCTTCCAAATTAAATTCCGAGATACCTACTACATGCGGAAAACAACTTTCCGGGGCTGGGAGGAAAATCAAATCAAAAGTAAGACTAAAATTAGACTTTCCCAATGCCAGTGCCTACGGTTAGGTCCTCTCTCCCTCGCGGATCTTGCATCTTAAGACCTTAAAAGAGAGCCTGAAGAGGTTAGAGACCCTCATAAAACAAAACTTTTATGCTGCATGCTTTCCCAGCTTGTTCCTAAACCCGGTGTGCAACACACTGGCACAATTATTATGCAAACAATGCCTAAACGGCTGTAACCACTAACGACTTCTCATTAAAACGGCTTTCAAAAATTTGTCACACCATCTAAAAAAGCTAACAGGTACACCAAATCCACCTAAATCGGCAATCAAAACACGAATCACCCTGATTTGTATCCTAAAACTCAATGCAAGTAAAATCTCAATATTCTGACGTGGGGTTTTAAAAAATTTCTCTTTCAACCATTAAGCCAGAACCAAACAATTTACTCCTCGACAAAATTTAGTTTATCTTGTAATAAGTATGATGGAAAACAACTTTAACCATATTGTACGTGCGCAGTATGTGTTTAAGTCAATCGGGAGAAGTTTAAGATAAAAATCAACTGAAAGGAATAGAAAATCAAACAAGAGAATTGTAAAATGAACTCCAAGAAACACGACTTTAAACCCCATCTACCTCTCCCCCCCGAAAATGCTATATCATTATAATGCCCCCATGTGTGTGATCAATAAATTTTTCCGATGTCGTATTTGTAGAAAGTAAGTAAATTCAATTTACATTAAGGGGGCGAACGCATATTCTTTTTTTCCTTGGTCCAACAACGAAAAGAAATTCCTGCTGGCAAACCCAAGATGTCAGGGTTCGTTATAAACAATAATTTTTTTCCGTTCAAAGGCGAACCCGTTCATTTGCACAAAATTTAAAGAGTTTGCGAGTTTTCCAGGAAAACTGCCACTGCCTACAAAATCCGAATGAAACGCTGACATGGGATCTACCGTGCTCCGCAGCCAGGTTTCCAGGAAATCTGCGAGGGCGGCCACAGCGCTGCGTCCTTGACAATTCCTTCGGGAAAGCCGCTCCGCACCGTGCCGGCTGCGAGGACCCGGGCGGGACGAGCCCCGAGCGGCCCCCGAAGGCGGAGGGCCGGGAAGAAGCGACAGCCCGACTGCACGGTCCCCTGCTTCTCCATTCGAGGAGTCCACGCGGCGCCGACACCTTCCCCGCCGCAGTGGGGACCCCGGAGAACAGACTCAGAAGGCGGCGGCAGATGCGGTTCGGGGAAGGAGCCGTTGACGGCGACCCCTCGGCGCGGCGCTTCAGCTTCAGGTGGGGGCGAGTCCCCGAGGTGTCCCCAGACCCGGGCAGGACTTCACAAGCCTCAGCCCCAAGGACGGGGCGTCCCTCGGCTGCGCGGGGATGACAGACGGGCCCAGGAGACCCCGGCCCCCGACTCCATCCCGCCTCCCTCGCCCCCTAACAGATGACGGAGAGGAAGGAAGGAAGGTTCTAGAAAGTCTCTGTGGACGGCTGTCCCTTACCTTCGTGTACTTGATTTCGAGGTTGGGCGTGGGCGACGGCAAAAGGTGCAGGGACGCCATGAGGGCAGCGGGGTCGGCCTTCACCTCGCCGGGCATCTCGATCTTACTGGAAGTCATGGTGGCGGGCCGAGGTCTCGCTGGCCCGCGGCGTGGGCTGTGCGGGCTGTGCGCGCGGTCCGCGGGCGGGGGGCGCGCTCGCCTGTATATAGGCAGGTGTCAAGCTGGGGCTTTTCTTATTGGACGTGAGGGCCGAGGCGCGGGGGGCTGGTCCATCCTACCTAGGACGCCCGGGCGCAGCCCGGATTTACATAAAGCTCGCCTCCCGCGCCGCGCCGCCCGGATGCTCGGCGCCCACGGTCAAGTGCGCCCGGCGCCCCGGGGACCAGCCCACGTCCACGCTGCGGCTGTCCTCGACGGCCCGAGCGCCAAGCTGCTGCGCGGGACTCGGCGAGCTGGACCCGACTCCAGAAAGCGTCGGCGGGGGCGCACCTTGGCCGCTGTCGGGCGCAAGTCGTGGCCTGGGAAGCCGAACTGCCGGGGATTGGCCGGGAACCCGAGCGGCCAGGGTGTCGGCGGAGAAGCCTGAGGCCTGGAGGACGGCTCCCGGGGCGCCCAGGGGTCCAGCCGAGGATGGGGCGGGCGATGCTGCAGCGAGCGCGGAGATCCCCTCCCAGCCGCGTACTGGGGCCCGCCAAACCCCGTCCCTCTCGTTCCCGGGGACTCGGGGTGGGGGCGCCCTCCGCTCTCCTTCCCGGGGCAGAGGGCCAGGCCCTCCGCAGCGAGCCCCGCCCCCTCACCCAGCCACTCCCCGTAACGGGGCCCGAGGGGCGCGGTGGCCGCAGGGTCGGGGACGGGTAGTGATGAGTGCGAGTCCCTCGCCCCACACGGAGTGAGTATCCCCGCGAGCCGGTCGACGCTGGGCAGCCCTCGCCAGGCTTCTCCCGCCCAGCTGCTGCCCTCTGCCGGCCGGGACCGCCCGCCCGGAGCCTGTGGACCTGGTCCTCATGTACGCCTCGGAGTTGCACGTTTCACTGGCCCCTCCAGTCTTTCCGCTCGATCCCTCCTTCCAGCCCTTACCTTCGTCGCCCCAAAATACACGTGGATACACTTGTTTTGCTTTTCTGTTGTTCTTCACGTTAACAGCTACCATCCTGCCAGACATTGACCTCCTCACTTAACTGCCCCTTTAGGGTTGAGCTTCCGCATCTACACTCCCTAATTTAAGTGTTTCTGTAGCTCCAAGGAGCCGCCTTCTAGTCTGTGGGACTCTAGAGGTGAGCATATAGAAGGTCATCAAGAACCCAGGGACCCCCATCCCAGAATGGGCTTTGGGCTCAGTGGGCTAAATCTGAGGTCCAGATAAAAACACCATTATAGGTCATTTCCCCTCCTCACTCCTGGTGTAAACCTGACAGGGGCCTACTGATTCGCATCTTAAACACCGTCTTCAGACCCCTTAGAACCCCGTTTCTTTGGATATTAAGGGTGAGCCAGAAAAGATCTTGCCTTAGATACTTAACAGTAACTAAAACCGCTTAATCCTCGGGGCTTTCATGCTAAACAACAGTAGGAACAGACAAAAATCTTTCATTTTCGCATTAGGGCTATAGCAATAACTTGCGGCCTCTCAGAACCCAAAGTATCTAGCCAAGGTTCCTTGAGTGAATTGTTTCACTCAAGGTTCCCTAAGTGAAGAAACTATGGACCTTAGCTTCGGTGGTTGGGGGATTTTGAGTCACAGGGGATCTCTATGGCCCAAACTTGTGCTTTAGTAACAGTATGTGTTTATGAGACACACTTTTATTAAAGCCTTAGTGAATTAGAGATACAGTTGAGGAATAGAAAAGTAAGGTCTTGGAGTTTATTAGGGAGAGAAGGGTAAGGTAGCAGCAAGGGAAGTCAATGATGCTCGTGGAACAATTCCTCGAAAGTGTTTTGGGCCCCTTCCAGTGCAAGGCTCCATGCTAGAGGCTGGGTTACAAACAAGAGGGACAGCCCTTGCTGTCAGTGAGCTTGAAACGCTCGCCCACAGAGAGAGACAGATCCCTGACTGTGAGAGGCTGTGGGGAGGGTTACAAAAGAGCATCAGCTACGTGATCTGGGTGCTCCATCAAAGAAGAGCTCACTGGGGAAGCTGACTTTGGAGTTGGGCCTTAAAGGAAAGGCGAGGCTTCAACAAGGGAGGGAAGGACAGTGTAGGCAGGAGAGTCCACAAAAGCAAAGCACAGAGATGTGAGAATACTCTTTAGGGGACATCAATGTGACTGGAGGAGGAACACATAGGCTGACAAGGCAGTTGACTCAAGGTGGTAATGACCTTAATTCCTGAGACACTGAGAAGCCATCAAAAGCTTCTGAGGAAGAGAAAAGGGAAATCTGTATAAATTGAACTGATGAATGAATATTGCCGAGAAAGACTATCACAAACTAGAAACCATTGATTTACGTTCTTCTCAAAGCGTAAGACGGGCCTATTCACCCTTGACCCACCTCTTGCTTGCTAACCCGAGTTCTGTCACCATGGCTGGAAAATCTCTCCCGAGGAAGGAACAATATGCTCGGTTGTTAGCATTTGTTGCACAGTGAGGCAGAGCAAATACATTCCCTTCTTCTCAAGCAGGAAAGAGAGGATCTTTTGGAGTCTTCTCATAAACATAACCAAGAGGCCTAGTACAGTGACAGACGGCATACTGGTTCGAATTGTTCCCTTATGGGTTCTTTTGTGTAAGAGTTACTCTCCAATTAGACAGGAAAGTCATCAGCATGGCGACCACGTCTTCTATTTCCCTCGTGCCTTCCTCAATTCCTAAAACAGCTTGAAGTACATAGTAACTATTTCATAAGAATTTTTGTTAAGTGATTTGAGCAAAAGACGAAGCATATTCCCTATGGCACTGTTGACTACTTCCAACATTTTCTTTTCCTGACCTTAGGTTTCCCTTGCTTCATCTCTTACCATAAACTTTTCTATTCATAGATTTCTAAGAATTTGTTTCTTCATGGAATCATCCTCTGAAAAAAAAATTTTCCCCCATCTTCAGCTCATGATTGCAGCCGTTTTTTGTCAAAGCTCTTTAATTCAAGATGAGGGACGAGAGCTAGCAGAAAAGAACAGTGAATTTTAACTAGTTCTTTAATGGGCATCTTCTTGGTTTCTGCTCATAGGGCTACTCTGCTATTACTTACTTTTTTTTTTTTTAAAGATTTTATTTTTTCCTTTTTCTCCCCAAAGCCCCCCAGTACATAGTTGTGTATTCTTCATTGTGGGTTCTTCTAGTTGTGGCATGTGGGACGCTGCCTCAGCGTGGTTTGATGAGCAGTGCCATGTCCGCGCCCAGGATTCGAACCAACGAAACACTGGGCCGCCTGCAGTGGAGCGCGCGAACTTAACCACTCCGCCACGGGGCCAGCCCCTGCTATTACTTACTTTTGAGGCTGTCTTAACATCTCTTCTCACATTCTTTTTCATTCCTCCTCTTCTCTTCCTTTTATTATCTTGTTTTATTATCTTCTCATTTCATGATGGTAAAAGTGACAGTCTTCCCCACAACCGCTGTCAGATTTCTAACCTTTTGAATTTCAGTCTTTTCCCTGATTCAGTTAAGAAGCATTTCTTCCCACCCTTATAATGTTTCCTGCTGCACCATCCCCCATCTGTAATTATTTATTGTTTAGGATACATCTTGTTTAAAACCCCTCGCACAAGGGAACATAAGCTACAGCATGCTGTATTTCCTTGTGAAAACAATTTATTAGGCCTGGTGGAGCCAATATCCTGGAGTTGTGGAGGAGAAAAATAAATTCTTGCCTCATATTTCCTCACCTAAATAATAGAATGCAAAGTTGTAATTTTAAGCCATCAGCTTCATGTGAAATTTGATTTTAAGTTATGAAATCATAGCCAGGTAGGCTTCTTTTTAGTTTTCAGTTAAAGAGGGAAAGTGTTTGTTAAATTGAGAAACATGCTTTAGAAATCAATGAGGGAAACACAGATTCCCACAAAAGGAACACTTTTGGGTTTGACAATAACAGTGTCCGGCTTGAAGTTCAAGCTTCCATGTTCAGGGGCTATTTCAGCCTCAGGTGGCCCTGCCTAATTGCCTTCCTGTTCCCATTACTAACCGTGATGACAGCCTACCTCTTCTAACAGATACACTTGCATTTTAATTTATCTGCAAAAATAAATCACACATTATAGCATTTCTCTCTTCTGGGTTAATTGAATCAGTTCCTTAAATGTCTTTAAGTCTAATGATTTGAAAGGGGCACACTTTTTGAAATATTTGAAAAATTAGGGCCCTTGGGTTGTATGCAGAATGATCTCGGTGCTTATTGCAGAGATGTGTTTCCTAACGATATCATCTGTCTCCAGTGGGATGTGCTCAGCTACTTGATTTGAAATGTTTCCTGAAAACTCTAACAGCAAAGCTTAATGCAAGGTGTATTTATAGAGAAATGGTATTTAATTTATTAACAAAAGGTTATAAAGAGGCTTATATAATTTTATCCAGAAATGCTTAATGAAGTATTTTGGACCCATTATGAAAACATCTATAAAATAAATTCACTTATATTTTTACTTAACATGAATAATAACTTTTTATTTGGGATCTAAATGCTCATTTGATTATTCTTTTCCTTCCAACATCTAGAAGAAAAGAGGCCGAGATTATGGCATTTATTAACTGTAAAAATTCTCTCCATGTGAAGTGCCTCATGCTCCAATGTGGCCTCTGGTCACTGTATTCTATGAAAAGGGGTATTTATGGCTGCAGGGAGTAGATTCCTAATTGGTTATGACTCCAAAAGTCATGTTTTGATACAAAACATAATTATTTCCTTTTAAAATAGGTCCTCCACATTTTGGGAATCTTAAGAGACTATTTTAAAAGTGGAAACTAGATTTGTCTTTGTTGTAAAGCCCAGTTCCACCTCATCTATGTTTTAGAGGCTTCAGTCTAGGTCTGGAGAGGACCTCAGAACTCTATCAATAATCACACTTAACAGGCAGAGGGAGAAATTAAAATCCCAGCTATGCAGCCTTTTCCGACTGGCCCGAGGAAAAAGGCATTAGCTCCCTCTGCAGTGGATGGCACGTATGTGCAAGTGAGTATCATTAAAAAGCAACAGCTTAGATTCAAGCTATTTTAGCTGCTGCTGCTGAGAAATCTTTGGAGACATTACAGTTTTAATTTGAATTAGTTTGGAGGAAAAAAATCTCAGAATGCAGGCAAATTTTAGAGTATAGTTATCTTAGGAGAGGGATTTTCATTAAAAGACTTTTTGACTTTTAGGAAAAGAATCATAGTGCTCATTAGCCAAGTTAACCACAGAAAGTAAAGGACTTAAGAACCCTGCAACGG